GCTCTCACAGGGATGACCCGTGATGGTCCGCGATACTACCGAAACCTATCACGAAGTATTTTTATTTAAATGATTTGGTATCGGTACGAGATGAATCTCAAAACTACTCGGCACCGATTCTTTTCGAAACAAAATGATATAATATCATATCCATGCTCAAACCGTGCCAAAAACTCAAACATGCATTGTTCAAATGATATTAATACAAAGGCATATTTGTTATAAAAAAAACATTACTTTGATAAAAAAAAGTAAGGATATCGGATTTAAAAAGACAATAAACATAAAAAAAGATAATGAATCCACATTTAAAAATATAGGATTTCCTTTTCTAATTTATACAATACCGGACTATAAGTAACTCCAAAAAATATTGCTCATAGTAATGAATATGATAACAACAATAAAAGGAAAGAATTAAAAAAAGAATAATATAATATGAAATGCTTTATATACTCCGCATGTAAGATAATGTAGACAAACAAGTATTTGACATATCCTATATATAGCTTTGAACGGTTCGAGTCGTGATATTCGGTTTTACATTTTTGTATCACGATTCTGTCCTGTTTGATATTAGTTCGGTTTCAATTTGAGAGATAAACAATCAATTCTGTTTAAACACACTATAAACAGTTTGATATCATTACAATTTAAAAATGATACCACGTTAGTTCAATTTAGTTTCTTGTCCACCCCTACACTTTCAAATAGCATCCAAGAACACCTCACCCATGTTTTGTGATTTCCTTGCAAAGAATCTTATTAGATGGATTCTTCTTGCAAAATATCAAAAAATTATACTACCTCTGTTTCTCAAAGAGTTCCTCTTTTGACTTTGGGTGAAAATAAGGAAGTGTTAAATTGCAGTTGACTTTCCAATTTTGTCCTTGATGTGATGGGTAAAAGTAAGATGTGATAGGTAGAATATGAAAAAGTAGGGGTAAAAGTGGTTTTTTAATAGAAAGGGGAAGTGTTTTAAGAAAAACAAAAAAAATGAAAGAGAAAGAGTTTTAAGAAACGGAGGGAGTATTTTTTATTTAATATTGAGATTGTACAAAAAAAATTCAATAATCAATTATCTTACAATTTGACAAAACAAAATAATGTTTTATATAATTTTGTTTTGAAATAAATATAATAAAATAATTTTCATATTAATATGTAATTTAATCTCATTTCATTAATAATCAAAACTCAAGCAATTTAAACAAAAAAAATCAATCCGAATGACAATAATCTATCTCTCATCACATTTATCGCTGGTGTGTGTATCAAAGTTATGCTTTAATTTCCTATAAACAAACATATATATACTTCCATCCTTCTTAAATAGATGCCACTATCACTCCTCACTATTACAGATTACACTTGTTCGACAGTTTTGTTTGTTTATGCATTTTTATTAATTATTTAATAAAATATTCATATCATGTATTGTTTTATAGAATATTTGATGCATTTTTGAAAGATACGGAGTATAATTTAGACTTTCTATTGGTATACCATGCCACTTTATAATTAAAATGGATTTAAAAATGATAGAATTTTACACGTTGTCTAGAGTGTGATATTCATTGTGGGACGAAGGGAATATATATAAGAGTGATTCTATGGTGGAGCTAAGATCCAAATTGATTTTTTCACATATTTTTTATTAATTTAAAAAATGCTTATTTGAATACCAAAAAATGCTTATTTAGCCACCATGGACCTCATGTGTATGTAATAATTTGCCTATTTATAAATAAACACACACACACACATTATATAACAACAACAACAACATAGTTGTTTCTCTTTCTTTCTTTCTTTATCTTTCTCTCTAAAATGACACCAGTTACTTATACACCAGTTCGTTAGGGTACTTACGTTGCTCGATTTGTAAAAACAACGGTTCCTACCCCCCCTAACCCCCCAAAACCTCAATCCCAACCCCACCTTTGCTCCCCCTCCCTACCCTGCCTGGTAGGGGTGGGGCTGGGTGGGGGGGCAAGGGTGGGGCTGTGATGGGGGGTTTAGGGGGAGAGTAAGGGGGTAGGAACCGTCATTTTTACAAACGAGCACCGTAGGTATCCCAAACGAACTGGTGTAAGCAAATGACACCAGTAGCACTGGTGTCATTTTAGACTTACCGTGTATGTATATATATATACACACATACACACACACTAATTTTTACCTTGTGCTTCGCACGGGCTCGCATATTTTTCTATAAAATACATCTATCTGTTAACATAGATATTTTATGTTAACGTTTTGTATGTTTGTTAAAAGTTCAATTAATATATAAACATAATATGAATTAAAATTTAATTTAATTTATTTTAATTTTTTAATAATAATAATAATATGATATGCATTTTAATTTGTTTTTTTTAGATTTGGATATGATATCTTGTAGTAGCAAGACCATTAGATACAATATTTTTTGAAATAAAATTTGTATTTTAACAATGATTTTTTTTGAACCACTTCACAATTCATTAACTCATCACAAAAAATAAGATCATACAATCTTCAACACACCTCCCTACTCAATACTACTACCTGGACAGTATATTACTCTTCTTCAGTTTACTACTAGTGAAACATCTAATATTGAACATAATATAGAAGACACACTCGTCCACCCTCACATCCTCCTTTAGGTGCCACCTAGTATTTCTAGCCTTCCATATGAAGTAGCAGATTGCTGCCCATGCTGCTATCCAAATTCCTCTCTCCCTTCTGGTTCCATGTCTCCTCATCTTGTCATAATATTCTTGGAAACTGGAAGCTTGAATTACACATCCCATGGGTACCATTATCTTACTGTGCAGCTCCTTGGAGAATGGGCATTCCCAAAATAAATGGTTGATGTCTTCTTCTCCATTATTACACAACAGGCACTTCGTATCAACATTGATGAACTTACTTAGCCTTTGTCTTTCCTTGCTCTAAAATTTATATAATTATTGTTTTTGAAAGGCAATAAAAAGAAAAAATGGTGAATAGTTTGAAAGCTTATTTTTTTTTTTTAATTTTAAACTCGTTAAATGAATATTTATACAATACTAAAAAAATGAAAAGGTTTATGCAAAAGCATTAGCCATTGAATATAAGAATATATATTTTAAGTTTTGTATGTGCATATACATATATGTTTTAACTACTAAATATGATATTTTTAATAGTAGATACAATGAATAAATATATAAGAAATGAAATACAATTTTAACTAATGTTTATGCAATTGTTTTAAAATAAAGTTATAAATTTAATAATGACACAAATATACTATATTTCATATAAATCTATATTTTAAAAATGGAATAAAAGGGAAATGGTGTAAAAATTTATACAAAGAGCTATCATTTAAAAAATTTAATAAATTTTGTATAACCTTTTAAAAAGTAATTAATTAATTATAAGACATTAAAATATATTTTAAATTGATGAAAGACGTATTAATATAACAATTAGAATATGAGAACTTTTATATATACAAATTTATGGTAATTAAAGGCAATAATCATGAATATTTTTTAAATAAAAAGTAAACTAATAAATGCCATTTGGACTAATAAAATGATGACACTATGCCATGTGGATAAAGAATTTTTCCATGTCATACGCCACATGTCTCCACTACAAAGTTTGAACTCTCTTTTACATATATATACTAGTATTTGAACCCGTGCCACACACGGGGTCGAACAAAATTTTTTGTCGATTCTAAATAAAATTTAATGCAATATTTTTTCAAGAATACAGAAAATATACTTCTCGCATGATATTTGATATCATAGAAAAAAACCAAAGTGGAATAAATAATATTTGAGGGATTGATTGTGTACAAAAAAAATTAATACCAAATTTTTTGAAAGACTTCAGGGTATACAAAAGATATGTTCATTGTTCTTATTATTATTCAAAAAAATTAAAAATTACTTTTAAATTTTACCATTTTCTTTTTGTTAAGGAAAAGAATTTGAGTATCATTTGTTTTTTTAAATAAATTTCAACCACATGTTTTTTTAAATTTTTATGATTAATTTATTAAGTTATTTTTTTAATTTTTGGAAAATTCAACGTATTATTCGGTTTTTTTCTTTTTTAATATAAATAAGGTATGTGTTATACTAAAAAAAATGCATTATTTTTCCATTCATATTTTTGTTACATTTTAATATGCATAGAATACATTTCTATTTTCAAAAAGATTTTGAAATATCAAATTTATATTATTCAATTTTATTTTTAAAGAAAATAGTGTTTGGGTATGATGATATATTTTTTTGTTTCAAATAAACATCAGAGTATTTTTTTACATCAATATTATGTTCTTTTATTTTTTGGTGAATTCAAGTTGCTAGTATGTTTTTGAATAGTGTAAAAGTATTTGAAAAATAATGTTAACCTCAAAGATGTTAAAATTAGAGGTGTGCATGAATACTTTTTTTTATCATTTGTCTTCTTTTTAATAAAAATAAGTCATGTGTTATGCAATAAACATTGCATTGGGGATCATAGTGTATATATATATATACGGTAAGTCTAAAATGACACCAGTATATCCCCATATATATATATATATATATATATATATATATATATATATATATATATATATATATAGTAAGTCTAAAATGACACCAGTGCTCACTGGTGTCATTTGCTTACACCAGTTCGTTTGTGGTACCTATGGTGCTCCGTTTGTAAAAATGACGGTTCCTATCCCCCTAACCCTCCCCCTAAACCCCCCACCCCAGCCACCCCTCCCGCCCCCCTCCCTACTGCAGGCAGTGTACTGCCAGACTGCCTGGCAGTAGGGAGGGGGGCTGGGGTGGGACTAGGTTGGGGGTTTAGAGGTATGGTTAGGGGGTAGGAACTGTCATTTTTATAAACGGTACCCAAATGATGTCATTTTAGACGCTAATATATATATATATATATATATATATATATATAGACAAACACGTACTATATACGGATTACTAATTTACATACTCCGTATAAAATAACATATTCAGTTGTTTCTCTTTCTTTCTATCAAGACCGCCCCGTTACCAATGGCTCCAGAAGCTCAGCCAACAGAGACCAGCATAAACCCTAACCCTTCTCAACAAGAGGCTCCACAACCGCCTCACACGACGGAGGACGTTCCGTACCGGTCATCAACCTCCAAACGTCCTCGGGAGGAGGATGCCGCCGAGGCTGGCACATCCGCTGCCGTCACGCGGCCGCTGAAAAAGCGCGTGAAGGCATCCCTTGATATTGTGTACCGCATCATCGTCCCGTCGAAGCAGATCGGGAAGGTTATCGGTAAAGAGGGGCATCGAATCCAGAAGATCCGAGAAGAGACCAAGGCGACCATTAAGATTGCCGACTCCATTTCTGTAAGTATGATGATTCCGTTTTGTACTAGATATGAGAATGATAGGAAGTGTGAGAACTAGGAAGGATCGCGAGAGTAGCAGTAAGCCTTACGTTTTACTGTAGTTTGGATTTCACTAAATTTATTTATAGTTAGCTTAGTTTGGTAAATTTAGTGATGCTATTAACAGCAGCTTATATTTCGACCATATTCTGCCTCTTATATGCCAGGACGTCAATGTTGGCCTTGTGAACATTGTTAATGGGAATGACACCCTCTCTGCAACTATTTAAACCATAAAACTGTAAAAAATTTTAGACATCAACTTGTGTGGAGTTGTTCTAGGACCACAGAAGAATTTGACACTTGTTGTGTGACCTGTTCTTGTAATTTACTACTGACTTTGATGGTATCCTAGGTTATTGCAATAACTAAATAGGCTAGGAAAATCGAAAAAAAAGGTGTCCGTTGATTGCGAGTTATGATTTTCATGATTGAGAATATCATATCAAGTCACGGCCATCAGTTATAAAAAGTAACTATGAAAATAGTTGTATTTTATTCATATCGAGAACCCACATCTTGCACCCTTGTTCATTCAGGCTTCTTTGCGAAGGTGCCGTCCAATTATTGAAAAATTGCTAGTGCTGCATAGTTAACATGCTGTTAGCACATTAGGTTTTGCAACTGAACATAAAAACATAGTCCTTTCTATGATTTAACCTCTATTTGCTTATTATCCATGTGTCTACTTGTACCAGAAGAAAAACGGAGTATTAACTTTTTATTCAGTAACTCCTATTTGTTTCATCTATTGACCGTATCTCCTCCATTTTCTATTAGCCTATTATACACTACTTCTTTGATAATATGATCTATCTCTCTTTCGGCAGAGAGCCATCTTTTAAACACCATGATAATGCTAAACATTCTTAATTGGAGGAACTCTCAAGATGCATACATTGACTCACCTGTTGCAGAGAATCTTTCAAAAAATAATGAGGTTTAACCATCTTAACATCATATGCACGTATTTCCTCTGTCCCATAAACTTATTTCTTCTTTGAGCTGCCTCAGTTATTAAAAAGATGAAATTGTGTAAATGTGATGTATTAAAAGAAAATAAATAACATCATATGCACCGCTGAAGTCTGTATTTACTCAAAAAGAAAAAGAGATTTTTCTGGAAGTGACCTTTTCTGGATCATGAAATTGTCTACTCTACAATTTGACTGCCTTGGCTATGTCTCTGAATTTTCCCTGCCATGTACAACTGTCTCCCCATTTTAAAGGAGAAGCACACTTTTAATGTGTATCCCCTGCTTTTTTCTGACACATATTTCACATTTTTAGGAGTGTCCTAGCGCCAAGGTTGGTGTCATAAATCAGTAGTATGGCACCATAAATCTTGCATGTGAAAAATATTTTTGCATTTCCACGTTAAGCAACTTCCCTTTGAGTTTCTGTTAAAAAGATTCAAAGGCGCTGGTATATGGCCTTCTGGCTGACCCTCACCTTGCTTGATTTTCTGTGTTGCACTTCTTCTTTCTCATTTTCTTATTGTTCTTTTTTAGGATTATCGATTTATTGTTATTTCATGAGCTTACTATGTCACCGTTGTTTTCTATTTGTGAAGAGACATGAAGAAAGAGTTATCATAATCAGTTCAAAGGATAATGACAACACATTCTGTGATGCAGAGAATGCCCTTCATCAAATTGTGACATTAATTCTAAAGGTAACTTTGTCCAGAGACCAAAGATTTGTCATCTATTACAATTTTTTAACAGACCAAGGCTCAAAATCCTGCTTCCACGAGACACTTTCTTCTTATTAAAATGTTTTTTGTGTGTAAGTTTGTGTTTGACATTTCTTTCTTGTAATGATGGCTTCATATGAACTGATTCTTGGGGCTTTAACATTGGTGTCATACTGTCTTACATTTTAGTGGGAAAAGCCACTGGCCATCTAATCACTTTCTCCATGTTCCTTTAGGATGACAATGACAACTTTGAAGCAATGAAAGCTGGTGCTGGACAGTTTCCAGAACATGTAGTAAGGTTTTTGGTTACTAGTCCTCAAGCAGGTGGTGTTATTGGTGTGTCTGGTCAAAATATTGAGAATTTGAGGATTTCTTCCGGTGCCACGGTTAATGTTCTAGCTCAAAACCAATTGCCACTTTGTGCATCTGCCCATGAGTCTGATCGTGTGGTACAAGTAAGAAAAATTATTATCCAACAATTGTTCTAATCAAGCAGAGAAAGCACCTTGCATACTGATTTATCTTTTTCTGTGTCTTAATTTTTCCATTCTGTTAACTGCTAATCGGAGAAATAGATGATTTTTTGCCCTTTATGTGCTAAAATCCATTTTTGAAATGAAAATCTTGACTCCGTAATGCTTCAATACAATACGATGAGTGTAATAAAAACTGTCATGCCCCAAAAATCTCAATTTTTATAATTATTGATACTTTTGCTAGTCTTCGGTTTCACGACACTGGATCTTTTTGATTATGTCAACTTTTTTATCAGCAAAGTTTAACCATTGAATGACTCAAGCTCTTTCGTACACGTTCTTTAATGCTTTAGATTTTCCTGTAGTCTCCTTGGTTTTGGTTTAGTGATTCTGTACAGTATTGCAGATTTTGGTTTTTGCACAATGATAGGTAATTGAGACCAACTGTTGGTGATAACTTCTGATAGTAATGAGCAGGAATATTGTTATTCAACTCTCTCATTTTGGGATGTCTAATTGCAGGTTTCTGGTGATATTCCCGCAATCCTCAGAGCAGTAGTGGAGATTGGTTGTCAGCTGAGGTTTTTTTGAATACTTTATGTCACATAAATATTTCTAGATTGACTTCTTGATTGTTTCCATGTTAATGAATGTTAAATTGTGCAGGGATAACCCACCTAAACAAGTAATCTCCATCAACCCAACATATAATCTTGGCTTTAATCGTTCTCTTCATCAATATGTGGATCCATCATCAGGTTATTAATTCCTTTTTTTTCGCTCGTCCTTGTGAACTTTCAAACTGCTGCCTTGTGCTGCTGTATGAAATCTTGATATATCTCTCATAACGACATCATCTTTAGGACAACCACTCTTGCAGCTGAATATGTGAATGCAACAATGTTGATTCCGGAGACCTTAGCTGGTGGCCTGATTGGGAGGAGCGGCTCCAACATTTCAAGGATCCGCACTGAATCAGGAGCAACAATTAAGGTGTGTGGGGATCTGCTTCTATCTTTTTTCCCGCCTTTGCTTGGATGCATCCATTGCCAATGGAGTAAAAAAGAGTCATTTTTGACATTGTTTTAGCTTCGGGTAGAAAATGGACTAAATGAAAATGACACATTAGACTTCCCTTGTTTCTTACTGCCTATTAAGTTTTGGCTGTAAATGCAGCAATGCATCAAGTGTTTAACAGAAACAGCATCTTTTTTACAAGGGTAATGATGTGTACATTTTGAGCCCCTAGATTGCAACGGAGTTGGGATTATATTGTTGTTTATTTGCTTCATTGTTTGGTGGTGGTGAAGAGGAATGGAGAAGATATAGTGTGAGAAGAAAGAAAAATATAAGTGAAGGGGTAGGTTTTGTTGTTTTTTGTATGAGTGGAATATATGACAAAAAAGTGCGTAATTTGTAAAAAGACAGTATTACAATTTCTTAAAAAAGCGCAACACTTGGGCTGAAATCTATCATTAAACCTAATGTGGAGGGAATATATGGGGATGTGTATATAACATGACCTCTCAAATCCTTTTCTTTTCATCTCAGCAAAAAAGAAAATTGAGATGGGCCCCACAAGCTCTCTCTTTTTTATATTTCACTTTTAACTGAAGGAAAACAATATTCTAATGAATATTGTTTAATGACTTGCTCAAATCTGGGACTGGTGTTTAGTTCCAGCCATTTCTCTATCTTCTTTGCATCAACTTTTTCTTTGTGCTTCATTTTCTTTTCTTAGAGTACCTCTCTAATGCAGGTTCATGGTGGGAAAGGGGAACAGAATCACAGACAAATCCATCTTGGTGGTAGTGCACAACAGGTAAAACTGTTATACAAAATTTTATTAATTATCGATTTTGATTCTCCGATGATTAGAATAACCTTTTCAGAGTTTTTTTTTTCAATAAAAAAATGTAAGCTATACTTCATATAAAGTGTGACTATATAGGAGGCTACGTGAGACTATATTGTCTGTATTTCCTTCGCATTAAAGAAGCTTTTTTAAGGATTTCTCTTAGCATTTGTTTCTTGAATCCTTCTGTTTGTGTTCCTAGCTTTTAAAAGTCTATTTACCCTTTGTTTGCCCTTTGTTGTACTATCGGTTCATTGTGTTGCTTGAGCTAGGGGTCTCCTGGAAACAGCCTCTTTACTTTTAGTTGGGGTAAGGTCTGCATACACACACCCTCTACACACCCTGCTGTTGTGGAATTCAAATGGGTTGTTGTTGTTAGAGCTTGTTAACCTTGTTTAGAATAGCTGTAGTTAAAACACGGCTTTGAGAAGAGTCACTTCTACTAAAAGCAGTATAATGGCCGAGTTGCAATGTGTTTCTGACTGGAATTTCTATGAGATTAAAGAGAAGCATTGTCTTAAAAGCACTTAGTAGCTTATCCAAACAAGCTCCTTAGTAAGGTCAAACCAGATTTTCATTAACATATTTCTTCATACACAGGTTGCACTGGCAAAGCAAAGGATTGATGAATACGTATATTCCCAGTTGTTGTTGCAAAGTGGCAGCCAGCCGCTTCAAGAAACAATGCAGCTACAGCAATCGTTACAGTTGCAACAGACTATGCAGCTACAACCGCCAATGTAAACTTTGTCATTCACTTTTTAGCTGACATAAGGGATATCAACTTGTATATTTGTACTCTCTCGTCCCACAATGTCACTCTCCGATCAACGTGCAAAATCCCATCACTTTTAAAATCATTTAAATCACAAATTCGTTTGTAAATAAAAACTATAAATTACACCGTTCAAAAGTACATACATCAAAAGTTCTACATAACAAAATGTGACAAGAATATTTTATTATATCAAGTGACACATGAAAATATACAAACAAAAGAAGTTATCAAGAGACTGTAATAGTCACGTGACAAACATTGTGGGACAGAGGGAGTACAAAGTATATATGAGCAGCCTGTCTTTTTTGTCGTACCAGTATGGTATTGGTTTTGGACTTCAACTAACCAAGTGTAGTTTGTGCTGCAGATCCAATGCATCTGCCACTATGTTGCAAGGATATAGTCAAGGTCATGGACTATATGTTAACAGGTTAGTCTATAAGTGCAATACTATTTTTGCATGGCATACATTTATGCATTGTGAAATCAAAATTTCCTGTCAGTAGCACAAATTGTTACCTTAGGATACTTTTGGGAGTTAGATATTGGAGGAAAAGGTAGTGGCAGAGTTCTTTTCTTTTTGAATTAAGAGAACTTAATTTATGTGTTGTTTGTGGTAATAAATACTTTTTAAATGACCAGCACATTAAAGAATTATCATGTTAATTTACTTTTTTCTAAATATTGAATGGGTAACCCCTGCCTTCTACCAAAACCTCCAATACCTAAATCCTTAACTCACCCTTGGTCAATTAGGTTAACATATGGGTTAACAATGAAAAATGTTTGGCATAAGTTCCTTTGAGGGCACTACGGTGCTCTGTTTGTACCCAAAGCGGTTCTTACAGTTCTATACTCTGCTTAGGGCCTATAGGGGGTAGGAACACTTTAAATGGATCGGTGTCATATAATGAGACCAGCCCTTGTGTCAAATGAACCGGAAACGTAGTTCAGTTGTTTTTAGTTCCTAAAAAACAAAAGCATAATTCTGAAAATTGTTGGAAACATTAATAATTCGTTGCTCCTTTGTTCCCAAAAGCTGCCTCCCATTTAGCTTGTTTGATAATGACATGGATTTTTTTTCGCACGTAGTACTCAGGCGGGTGCGGTGATGGCATCACATCCACAAGCCTACTCCTCGTCATCGGCAGCCAATCAAGCATCAGCTTACTATGGGCAATCATACTATTCGGCCCCTCCCATCTAAAAGATACTATGAATGAATGTATAAATAGTCAATCATCTGCTCTACTCAAAGTTGCCTTGCAATGTTCTTATTTGTGTATTTTAGTTTTATTGATGCTCTTTTTTTATAATCATATTGGCAAAATGTCCCTTAAGTGCCCCCCTTTTGCCTGGTTGAACTGTTATTTATGATCTAAGCTATCTTCAACTTCTTTAAAACAGTTTGATGATTCAATTGGTATTAATATTTTACCCTTCAACTAGCTTGACTTTGGTTCTTAGGGGGGATGGTATGGTTGAAGTAAAACCAGTTTGTACAAAAAAATGGCTTATGTTGTTTTTGGGCAAAGAGAGTAACATCATTTCTTCCTCTTTGGTAACAGCAAGTGTGTGTCGATTATGTTGCATCTTTCTCTTTTCTTTATTTAAATTTGTACTTCGTAGTATTATTTATTACTCCATTCATTTAAAATTAATTTTGTTTACTATTTATAGAGTTAAAGTTTATTTATTTTCTCTATTTTCAGTACTCATTTAATAAAATAATGTGATCATGTTATTTCTAACTTCGTAGAGCTTTTAATGTAATTTTTTAATATTTAATTTTTATTTTTTTATTCAATTTCAATTCTGAAATAAATTTCATTGAAAATAATTTTAGTCAAACATTATAAAAGCAAAATAGATGATTTAAACTGAGATTGAAAGGGCATATTTTTTGTTAAAGTTAAATGTTTACATTACTAGTTAAACTTAATTAATATATACGGAGTAATAATATTTAAATCTATATGACTTGCTATTTGTTAAAGTTAATATACTGTATTATTTAACTAAAGTTATATGTTATTTAATTATATTTAAGTTTATATAATGTTTTGTTAAAGTTATATGGTGTCTTTTGACCTTTGCTAAAATTGACCTTAAATTACAATGGCAATTTGAAACATGTATGATGCTTCCTTATAAGTTATGAATTGACATATGTACACCATTGTCACCATAACTTGCAATATGAAATTACTGAAATTTGATGTGAAACTAAAATGGAGATGAGAGGTGATACAGTAAAAAAAAAGTAAAAAGAAAATACATCACTTTTGTCCTAATATTGCTTTGTTAGATTTTGATCTATTCTAGCTCATTTTTTTCTTAATCTTTTTGCTCTTCACTAGTTGGAAGTAATGTCGGAGAGAGAGAATTTAGAAAAATGATGTGAATTGTACCCCTTCCAAATTAAATATTCTGTTTATTATTCACATAGTCAAACTTTATTTATTTATTGTTATTTTTGCAAGTTGTTTGATACAAGAACTGAAAAAAAATATTTTATCACTTGGAGATTGGAGTTTGAAAATAATCAATTCCATAATTAAAAGGCAATATAGCGCGTGGTTAAAACGAATATAAGTTGTGCTAAAAAGGACGAACATAAAAGGCAATATAGTGCGTGGTTAAAACCAAAGTGTTTTTTACAATTTTACTTCTTCTATTTGAACATGAGGAGGAATAGATTAACCTTCTCCTATGACCCCTCAGGATTGACCACAGATTGGAGTTATATTCTTAATGTGATAAATAAAAAAAGATCTATCCCTAATTGATTAATGTAGGGGGTTTCATACTGCACATGAAGTATCTTTATTGTAGGTCAAAACTAGAAAATGGCCAAATTCAAAAAGTCAAAACTGGACAAATATTCTAAGATAAACGTAGTATCATTTTTATTTAATTTGAGGTTAATGTTTAATAATTTTGATTGAAAAAAATTGAAAAGTAAACAAATACTCTGCATCCAAACTTTGTAGCTCAACCCAAACTTAGAAAAGCTAGCTTGGTGGGAGTGATTACCAAAAGTGGATAGGATGAATCTTTGCCACTTTTGTCATTTTATGCCTATCACATTGGATGGATAATCCTATTGGTCTTGTGGGACAATTTTGGAAGGTAAGTTTTAATACTAGTGGGCCCACCACACTAAATCCCACCATAAGAAACTCGAAACCTCTACTTTGAATCTACAAAATACTTTCTCTTTCTGAAAATATGAGATATTTTGATTTTTAAGAAATTTAAGGAAAATGTATTTTGATGTTAAGTTTCCCTAGAATATCCTTGAATGCGACGAGTAAAAATAAGATTTGATAGGTAGATTAATAGTGAATAGATGTGATGTGATATGTAAGTTAAAAACAAGTAGAGATAAAAGTTATTTTTCAATAGAAACGAGAAAAGTTTTTTTGGGACATATGAAAAAAGGAAATAAAAATTTAAGGGACGGAGAGAGTAATATGTGATTTGGTCATACCCAACTTGATATGTGATTTTCTTAGAATATTGGTACAAGTGATACTTACCAAAGAAGTAAACTCTCAACTCATTTTTGGTGAAAGTAAGTTAATTTTGTTGGTAAATGCAAGACCCGGCCCCACGCAATGAGATAATCTTAGAGTGTCATGTATGTTGCATTGCGCTTACCTGATCTGATCAAATTTGATTTGATTTTTTGAATATCTGATCTGGTTGTAGCAATTTTTGAAGCTATTTCTGATCTGATTTGATTAGATAAAAAATAAGTTGAATGAAACCTAGTCATAGTCTACTTTTGACTGTTTTCAAACAACAATAAGTTTGAAATACAAGTAAATTTGAATAATTTATATAAAAAAATTTATACATAAGATCAGAATTCTAATGAAAATATTTTTCATATTATGATAACATTAGTGATGAGGAAAACGTTGTAAAATTATGGGAAATTACTAAAATTCTACTAAAACATCATAATTACTTTCTCCATATATATAGTACCATATCTTATAAAATTTCCCTAACTAGTATTGATTAATTATTATTTCTTCCGTTTATAAAGAAAGTTATACTCTTTACTATTCAAAAGTCAGAGACACTTTTGTTTATTTGTGGATATTGATTAATTACTTGATAAAATAAAATATTATGTAAATTTGATGTAGTCTTTAAATATGTAAATTTTATTTTTAATTTATATACAATTTTTTAAATAAAATAAATTTTAAAAAATTTAAAATTTCACTTCTTTTTACGTAAAGTGTAAAACATTTTGGGAGTGAAAAAGTAATTTAATGTACTAAAACACCCTTTTGATTATTTTAGATTTACTCTAATTAATTACCCTGATAGTTTTCTGACCTAACCCACCCAGTTGTGACTTGGACCGTCGTCGTCACCACAAACCATCCTCTGGTTCTTTACCATCTTCGTCATCTCAATGTCTTCACTCTCTCGTCCCCTATTATTTTTGCAGGTTTCAATGTCGGGAGTTTTGAGTCACGCGGGACAAACTTTGAATTCTAATTACTTTCAATTTGTATTGCATATTAGTATAATGAAACCCAATTTTGAAAGTTTCAATACGATAAATTTAATAAATTCATTTTATGTTAAAGAACATTCCGTCATTCCGGTTTTTATTTAATTGAAATTCAAAGTTTGTCATGTTTGACTCAAAAAAGTCAAAATGGACAAATATACTGGAACGGAAAGAGTACATAGTAAACTTTATTTATTACATCTCAACCACCTCATTTAATACACTCCACTCATTTTCATTAAGGGTATTATATTAAACTTTCACCTTTTTTCAACTATCCTTAAAAACCACAAAAAGTCAAAACGAGAACATTTTAGGGGGACGGAGGGAGTAATTACCAACTCAGTCAAAAATTTAAGTTTGTGAATGTAAGTCTAGAAAATGTTTTTGTGTTCTAACACAATGTAAATTGAATATAATGTACCCTTATTTTTATCCATTCGTCCCATAAAACCATTCTCTTTTTAAAAAGGTGTAACCTTAAAATGAATAATTTTGATGTTATTTTCTAATTTCGCTCTTACTTTACAATAGATCAGAGTAGAATGATATGTGTAGAATAGATGATTCATATTTAGAACATAACATCAAAATTACTCATTTTAAAGGCATACTTTTTTCAAACAGGATGATTTTCTAGGACGGAGGGAGTATGTTAATGTCTGTCGGGTGTGGTTTAAAATGTCAAAATAAACGAATATTTTAATGCAGATGTAAGTGATTTTTTTTTTTAAAAAAATAGGGTTTTATGGGCAATGGTGAGCTGTCGTAGGGAACTACTCTCATACTTTTTCAACCCCACCATGCAATATATAGAGGCTAGCAGCTTGTGTTTATGTTTGTCTTTGTGACATTGTGTTGTGTGAGACTGTTTATGTACATGCATGTACATATATAACATACATTATTATCATCAAATTAACATTTGACTCACTTTGGTTCAATGCTTTTAATTAAATTTCATTTAATCAGATCTTCGGTACGTACCCAAATAATGTTGTTCACAATCACATATATTCGACAATTACATAGCAGATTGCAACAAGCGGGTCGGGTCTGATCTGATTCTAATAAAAAAATTAATAAATAAAAAGAATAAGTTACAGAAAATATGATCTAATTTTTCTGAATCTATATTAGGGAGTATATATATATTCAAGCTAAGTATAACAGCCACACATT